ATCACAACTTCTAATTAGAGCAGTAAATTGAAGTTTTTACTCAGGTCGTCTCTGAATATCTTTTAGTAGTTGACCGTTACTCAGTTTGAAACTCCTCATTTTACACATATCTATTTAACTGTTCTTGTGGAACAAGTTACATTTGATGTACTATTGGGTAGGTGCGTTTCCGGATACGATAACATTTACGGGCTTCGTGTGGAAAAAGTGAAGCAAAAGTGGTGAAAATTTTTCTGTGATAGCCCATCTGATAAACTCAAGGCATCATATAAATGTTAATATTAATTTTACCGTCATACATCGTATTCCAAAAATACTATCACCGGCATTTCGCAAACACCTCAGCACAACTGAAGCAATCAGCTTAATTAAACTTGAGCTATCTAGTCAGAAGAAACACATTCAGGTGTTAATCCTTGTTTTTGGTCTTCAATAAAGTAAAGACTGTTTCTCATTTGTTGTATTATCTTTTATCACCACATTCTTTATCCGTAGTTATGCTGATATGGCTGTGGACAATAAGTTTTGTCCGAAACGTAATCCAGTTAACAATACTTTTCCATTGTGTAATCCATCTCATAAAGCAACTAAAAATGGAACCTTAACGTAAAAAATTTAAGAAAAATCAATTCGCTTATAGTCCAATTCTATTCTGAAAGTCTATTCACTTCAAACTTGGTTTATTTTTCTTTGTGAAATTCCATTTTATAACCATAGAACATGATGAGAACTTATTGAAAAGAATTCTTTGTTAGTATCGTCTTTTCATAAAAGTCCAGTCAATGAAACGTTCAATTGGATATCATGTTCAAAGCATGACAACAAAACTTATGCACACAACTAATCACAGTTAAGATCATTAAGACAGAATGATTTATAACCTGTGGGGAAATTTCAGAAGCTTAATTCTCTTTGAGATTGATGTTTATAAAAGCCTTTCAGTTAAACTGTTGAGCTTAAAGGCAACAAAACCAAGGAAAAGCTTCTATAGACAATTCTTTTCAGAGCGTTAAGAAAAATCAACCATTCAATCAGATTATAATTAATGTCAAACCCATTAGTTTGTAGTTATGTACAAAGAATCCACACTAACTGTAGTGAACTAATAAAGCTTCTTCAGTAGTATTCATAACTGATAGATCTAAGGAGAATTAAACGAATATTGACTAGAAAATAACTATGCTCTGAAGTTGTAAATTCCTGGTTGTAATAGTCTCACGAAGAAAATAGCATTTTCGTTCGCTTAAATTATAAAAGCAGTTACTATTTCCACATAGAAAAGAACACTTGCAAAGACCGGACTATGATCTTTTGAGCATAGAGTAAACATTCAACTCCTCATCACCATCGTAGCATTAAATGTTGACTTCGAACGTGCTTCGACCTGTACACTAATGAAGGGTATTTTCATTGACAATGCAACAGCGTTAGATTGCCAATAAGCGTATGATACACACCCAGTTGATCATATATTCAAACGACTGATCAGAGGGGTGTTCAAACTATTGAGTTATCAAAAATTTTCCACTATCAATCATTGAAATATATTTTCTCGTAAATTTTAAAAGTGCTTTCAACTGACCATTTTTGAAGTTAATAACAAAACGAAGAAAAAACGTTACAATAGGTGGACTTTTAAATGCACAAAAATACATCATCTTACTATTCTTAGGATATATTACTCAAATTGCATATTCACTTACAGGCTCCAGGAACCACTATCACCAAGCTTACGCTAGCTTTTCTATTCACTCCCCATTTCAGACACTAACATAAGCTGGCTGTTTCACAATATTGGCTTTAATACTGTTATTATCAACATTATCCAAATACAAGAATCATTTTGTTTAAAAATATTGTACTGGGAGGGAATTTGTTGAAATACTGCATACTGAGAATTCTATTCTCTATCAAACATATTATTTGAAATAAGGCGATTATGATTATTAACTAACCTAACACAAAGTATTGTTACTTAACCAATAAGGTTGTCATTAGGGTCTTTAAAGTGTCTGTTTTCATCTTTGCGCCTGAAATGCTTAGATCATTTTGGCGTATCATCTCTCTGATGACGATGCTTTACTGTTAATCTGATTAAGAAATCAATAATCAAGAGACTAAACTTATCTAATCATAGGGATTACTTTTCAGTTGACAAATAGTTAAACAGAAGTTGGGACAGAAGTTAAAAAACTGTCATTTAGATAGTAGTAATCGGTGGTGACCAGCAGTGGAATCCAGGACGGGGTCTTCGTCTTACTTGGGACTTGTCAACTGGTTACACTTGCTTCCCAGTGAGTGATATTATTCCCGCTAAGACTCGGACATAGGATCAGTCGCTCCAAAAGCCAGAGCGTTATCCACCGAGTCACGATAACCACTTCTTGTGCGGCGAGTGCAGTTTCTAATCTGTTGTTTGTAATTCCCCGTCGTTGATTTGACCAGATTAATAAGCCTTAGTCCTAGTGGAGACAACCACTGACTGGGAGCCAGGTACACTCAGCTAGCTACTCCCAAGTAAAAAACTGTGTCCTAAATCCTATTACTATTCATCATTACCATCAAACTGCAACTACGGGCAACATCGAAGTATCCGCGTAGAAGCCCATATGCCAACAGAGACCGATCAATTCTGTCCAATTAATGACAGGAAATTACAAGCAATAACAGAATAATCAATTACTGTTATGACGGCAGTAAGCTAATATGGCTAGTATCATGTGCTTAAACTGATAACTACACAATGCATTTGAAGACGAAGTATCAATAACACAAGTCTTCCGAACCACAGCTATCGCAGATATTCTCATCAGTAATGCAAAATATAAGTTTAACATTCCCGAGTGATAATAATTTGAAATGATGGAGAATATTTGTAGCTCAGGTGGATGGACTTGATTGTATTGTGTTCTCTGAGCTGGGTTGTTGTTTGATTAAACAACCCAGCTCAGAGAACACAATACAATCATGATAATAATTTCCTATACGCTTCAATATCCGAGTTTCGTCACACTTGCTCACGCTTATAAGTCATTGGCTGAACTGGGTACAAGAACTATTCGCAACTTTTCTATTAGCAGTCCTCTTTTTCAGATTTACAAAAATGCAGTTATATAGGTAACTGACAGGACTACAACATAGAATAAATCACAAATGTAATGAACGAAACTGTATCAGCACCAGCTGTATTCACTTCAAATGCTTTGTAGTCATCAAACTGTTCTACTATACCTTGCTAGATGTGCCAGCAGGTTTCTTCAGATATTTCCATTAATACTCTCACGTTACACTAAAGGATGCCATACAAATCTCCAAGATATTTTGGTCGATCTTAAATCTGGTATGCAAAATTGAACAAGATTTTATGTCTATTTATTATTTTTGTTTACGCCTTCAAAGTGACAAACTAGAATAAAATACTTAGGAAATAGCGAAGCTGAAAGCAATACGGCACTTGAACTAAATTAGTTAACGACTATTCACTGAATGGAAACATCAAAAGACAAACACTGGCCTGTGGTTGCAAGGACAACTTTATTCGACAGAAATACATCATAAATATACAGTTTTCACCAATACAAAAATACCCTAGGTCAAAGATCCAATAATTTAGCCTGCTTGACTCCATGAAGCACGAAAGCGTCCAGTAAGATTTATCCCGACTGCATAGCACCGTGGATCAGAATTCCAAGCTAAAAAGTTTCTACCTCATTGGACAATGCCTTAAAATGTTGATTTCTATTGTGACCTATTCTTATCACCTACCTTTATCTCCTTCAATTCAAATTGTAATCTTCGGTTTTAACGAATTGAGTGCCATTATGACAATGTCGAAAATACTAACTTCATTTTATACTGTTTAACTCCTTCAGAATATGATTCGCTGATAAATGATGCACAAGCTGTACTTACGATTACACCTGATGGAAACAATCCTTAAGGTAACTAATTTCTGTTTTACAAGTAGACAATTATCTTTAATCGACCAAATGCTATACATCACAGAGTCAATGTCTGCAGTTTTCAGTTCAGTACCTTTATGTTTAACATTTGATACTATTCAACATGTAATAGTGACCGGTGAATAAATATTCTCATAGCTTCGTCACAACTTTAAATGGATAAAGAAACTAGATAATATGCTCTTGATAAAAAGAAATATACTAAAGATAAGGTAAGAATTAGCAAACCTTAGAAATATTGTAGGAGATTCTATGATTCTCAAGCAGATGTTTTAAAATTGTTGGAGAGATAATTAGTCTAAGATTTCTGTCCTAAGGTGTGCTAATGTCAATGAAAATTGGTTAAACTAACGTATAAGTTATATTTAGATAAACCTCAGCGTCTTTGAAATAAGAAATTCCAACGTTTCTTACGAAAGTCTGGTCCGAGCTATTTAGTCAAATCTTGACCAGGATTAATACAAACTAATGTGTGTTTATTAAAATTTCTTCTCATTTCAGCACAAACATGCGATTTTTGACAATTCAGATAGACATTTGACCTATGCATTAACCAATGAACTATGTCTAACCAGGTCATGAAACTGCTTGTATGTGTAACGATTTCAAAAGTGGTGTCCATGAATGTAGCATTGAATGATACCACAGTTTATATGTCACGGTTTAGGTATAGGTTTCCACGAGTTTTGGAAATGATTTGGCGATTCTCAACAATACATAGTTAAAATAAGCGTAAGGTTACTAGTAGATTACTTACAAATGCATAATATTCGATAGCGACTAGCTGTGTCACGTCACTTGGCTTAGGGCTTTGACAACATAAGCTGATTGCCTTCTGATCGGGCACTGAGGACTTGAAAAGAAAATAAGTTATCAAATGAGTGGTTCACATGGAATCCTTTCACATCCTATAGTTAACTTACTAAGGAAGCAGTAAATGTGTTTAATACAAAAGTCGAAAGTCATTGAGCAAATTTTATTTTCGAAAATTTGGCATGCAGTTTGCGCTGATAAGTTGTGCTTAGTTGTAATTGTTAGTCAGCTGTCGTGCGATTGGTTAGTGCTCACTTCACGTGTATTAACATTCCAATTTTGATTATGCAAACCAGATTGAGAAGCCAGATGATCAACTAAATTTTGTGTTGGTAAGTTCACTAGCCATAATACCAACTGCTTGCGCAAATTTAACTCGGCATCATCTGATCTTGTTGATAGATAAGTAATCTACAAAGAATTGGGGCCGAAAGTTAACATAAGGGATTATAAAGCAAACACGTGTAAGATGAATTATTTCGGATTCCAATGATTCTTGTTAGGCAAATGATTTGATTTAGATACCAGTAGTAATATAGTAAAAGGAAATTTTCTTAGAGTACGACTGCTTTACGTAACCATTGAATGTTTTGATATTATGTGTTATAGCTAATTGTGCATATACCGCAGTATTGTGCGTTGGTTACTGACAGAATTTGTTAGGGAGGGATTGTAGGATGCTTCATGCATAGTTTTACTGGTTAAACGAACGAAGCTCAAATAGTGAATTTCTAGGAGTGTTTTACGGAGCCGTTTGTTAATATTTATTGACAGCACTTTTCGATTATTTCAAAAGCGAAAAAGCGATAAACGAATTTAAGTTACCCCTGGATGAAAAGCCTAAACACAGAAACATTTTTAAAGTTGTTTATTATTACTTATCCTTTGGGTTCCTAGTAAAACATAGAGCTTCAGTAGCACGTCGCCATTTCACTCTCTTCTCTCCAGTCTTCCTAGCTTGGCTCCACGACTTCACACAAGTTTTCATTTCTTCCTCACACGATACCTCCATCTCACCCTCGGATGCCCAACTTGTCGTTTTCCATGCAGGTTCCACTCGAGGGTCTGGTGTGTGATGTCCCCGAATGGTCTTCTCAGTGTATGCCCAATTCAATCCATCTCCACTTTCTTCTGCATATTTGTTGGGCGATTGGTGCTTGGTTGGTCCGTTCCAAGAGTGAGTTCTGGTCAAGACATTGGACACACGTCATCATCGTTGGCGAAATCCAAATCTTCTAGGGTCTTTTTATCGGTCCATCCAGAGTATGTCCCCCTTCTCGCTCCTCACAGTTCCTTGCATGATCCAGTCTAGTCCAGTGCAGTGCAGTTTAGTCGAGCACAATCAGGAAGATGATCGGTGACAGTTTAGTGGGCGTTGCTGATAAGAATTGATATAAGTAGTATATGTTGAGAGGGTGGCAGAAGTTATAGGGAATTACCAGCAATAGGTAAGGATTCCTCCAAGAGAAACGCAAGAGACAAGCAAGCCGTATAAAGAGCAAATCAAGAAAGAAGCAGAAGAGAAAATGAAGCGCATTTTGCAAATGACTGTTTTAGTGCAAGGTGTACCGTATTCAACGACTACTGTCCCACTTGTTGACAATGAGTACCCCTATCCTTCGTACCTGTCTTCTTGTTTCTGTTAATAGTAGGTGGCAACCTTGTCTTACTCCTGTCTTCACTTCAAAGGCATCAATGAGCTTTCCACTGTGAATCACTAGGCATGTGGCACCTTCATATAGCTGTTTTGATGAGTCTGATAAAGGCTTGTGGCACTGAAACCGTAGTGTTGAAGCAGCTGCTTGCCAAATTACTTCTCGGTCGACACTAACGAAGGCCTTCCCGAAGTCGGTGAAGTTGAGGTAAGATAAAGAGTTGACTGTCATTCTATGCTCTGTTCTATGATGATGCATAGCGTAGTGTTGCAATTTGATCCGCACATAATTAGTTCTTCCTGAAACCAGCCAGCCTATTCCGATCGTAATTTTGAATGCACAGCATGTTTTAGTCTCTCCAGGATGATGCGGCTTAATACTGTGCTTGGGGTGGACGGGGATGGAGCGTGATTCCGCTCCATTTCTAGCAAAGACTTAGGTCGCCCTCGTTTAGGAGTTTGACAAAATAGCCCTTCCTCCATTCGGCAGGTACCTTTCCTTCCTTCCTTCCAACCCTTCTGCAATAATGGTATGAGCATGTCCACTGATGTCTCTGAGTCTGTTTATTAAGATATCAAAATTTTCTTAAGGTTTATACTGGGTGGTTACACACTTTTTCTCAAGTAGTTTGGCTCAATAGTGTCGTAAACCGCAGCAACGAATAACTTAAGCTTGAATGTTTGAGACTATAGGTTACTTCTTTTCTGTGAGTAGATCATGTTTAGGAACAATTATTAGAACTTAGTTGTATAATTTTCTACTAATTAACTTCAACTATCTAGCATTGTTTAGAACAAACTTTAGTGAAAAACAGTTTTTATTTCTTTGATCGCATGCTTTAGATAGGATGAATAAGGTGAGAACTAAGTTCTTGTCGGTTAACAGATACTATATAGCACTTCACTTTCCAGCATATATGACAAATGTAGACAGGTACTGATTCATTAGCATTTTTACCAAATGATCCCTAATAATATTTGATTTCTTAGATTGTGGACTAAAACTCATGAAATTGAAACAAGCTACAGAGGTATACTATGAGGAAAGCATGTGGATTTATAAATTAACAATTTCGGTAAACGCAGTAGTGATCCACTATCATGGCGTGCTATATTAAATAAACCAACCTGATATAAAAGCTGAGTTACGTTATTGTGAACAGAACAGGTAATGGTTGCTTAAGGGGTTTCGTAAAAAGATAGAGCTAAGAAATTGGAAGTATGTAATGTTCGCTTTAATATCATATCTGTCAATTAAATGAAACAAGTTGGAAAACAACACTGAAATAAAAAAAATACCAAATATTATTAACAAAAATTCAGTATAGTGAAATACTGGGGTATTAACGAAATTTGAAAAAAATTAGTTGACTAAAAAACAACACATTGAAAATGCTCCAATGGCTGTAGGGTATTCACTGTTTCGTTCAGGTAGATATTCAATATCAAGACAGAATCTGGTACTGTTGTGTTACGGTCCAAGTTGTCACATTTCACACCAAGCTAGAAGATGGATGACAAGCGAGACGATAAAGAAATGAAAATAACATGACAAATCGCTGTAGAAGGTCAAAAACAAAAGAATGAAGTGTGATACAACGATTGAGATGAAGATAAGTTATGAATGGTTTTACGTCACTGTGAATGATTTTGAGCCTTACCATTTAGGCCTCCCAAGCAACAATTTAGGTTATCCTGTAGACTCTAACCCAAAGCAAACAACCCCATACACAGCTCAAACCAGTAGTCAGATACTTCATGAACTGATAGCATATTTTAGTCTGGTTACCTTCAGCCTTTTTCTAGTCTGATCTCACTTTAGATAACGTAGCGGATCACCACAGATAATTACTAGGCGTACGTAACACATCGCAATCATATAAATCGATGAAGGTATTCATAGAGTGAACCGTCTCTTTTACCTGTGACTATACACTTAACTTCTACATTATTCACTTTGTGGTTCCATGATATCCAACCAATGCCTCTTAGGCAACGATGGTCTCCTTCTACCCTTCAACTTTAATTGCCATGTTTCACAGTCGTCATAGAGCCGGATAGGGTAAACTGTTACTCAGTAAACTCAACCTTCCCTTGATAAATGGATATCTCGCCGGTACTGTAAGTCCAGAAGAGCCAATCGAACCTTTTGTATCCATATTGAAATAATTTCAGCCACCAGGGTTGATGAGAAGTTTCAGATAAGTGGGTTGATCAAAGCGCTCAACCCCTTCATTCCACCTTGTATGAAGAGGTAATAATCTAGAGTATTCATCAAGTAACGATGTGCAGTTGGAAGATGAGAAAGGCATCGCGGAGATTCTCAAGTTGTCTCTAACTGTTCAGAAGCCTTTGGACCTTATCAGTATCTTCGCCTACGAGGATCATTTTATTTGTATACTCCGATTCAAGTGAGGGATTTCTCGCCGAGATCAGTCTTGGTCAGACGACGGGAGAGACACCATAAGTAGATCCATTATAAAACTCCAGTTTGGTGTCAGATGATCATAAAATCTAGAGTTTTCTTTTGCTAACAGAAGCTTGGTTTGTAGATGTAAATTGAGCAAGTCTCCGCAAAAGTATGTATCCCAGTAATTCTATGTCTTTTGATTGATGTAAATGACTTGGTGGTCCTGCTATCAAGCCCATAGTTAAGGAGATGCTACTTCATTCTTTTCCGTACGCCATAATCATTTGGGTAAGTGCTCAACCATACACGTAGATAGATCCCTCAGTGTAACCTCCACAAACCCATTTGAAATTATATACGCAGTCAAGAGCACCGTAGATTAGTGTTCGGTTTTGTGATAACTAGTGTGATGGTCACTTGATGGTATGATGAATAAATAAGTCCTTCAGCAGAATGAGTTTGTCTCAGGTCTTCACAGTCCCTATATTCGGTTATGTCGTTCATATTGCCATTTAAAGGATAGTATAATATGTACTGTCTTTCCGGAGGTTTACAGAGAGTTTTTTTAGTATTTGGTATCTAAACGCATTTGCAAATGAGTATTAGAGTGCTTTAACTTTCTACAGTATTATTTACTGGATCACCTTTCAATGACCATTTATTTCTCATAATCATTTCAAAGGAATCACGAATTTCAAATCTAAATTTTGTTGTCCAGCAGCTCTTTATTCTATGATTTTCACTGGAAGTGAAATTTTCCGAATGTCTGTAATATGTGCTGAATCATTTCTCTTGTATATGTTGCACTTTCATGCGATAAACTGAGATCCAGTAGTCAATCTCTCCCTTCACCTATATTCGATTTTAAAAGTGTCGCTTTATAGTGTGATTATAAGTCAGTGGATGTAGGCTGATAGTCCAGTTTTTCTCGAAATCACTTATCTTGGTAGTGTCTAACACTCTGTTTTGCTGAATTTTGGTGCTCTAACATTCTGACTAACCTCGATCACCTTCTTTGACCTGTGTACTTGACTTTTCAAATATTACATGGTATTTGGTAGATTACGTTGTTTTCCTTAATTGAATCTACCGAAGCCTTTACCCTACACAGTTTCTCTCTGAGCGAATATGTGAGTTTGAATGCCACCCAATTCCCAGTGTTGTTAAGAATCTTACCTAGACTTCGCGATGTTCCTTCTCTTGGACATGTAGCAATTGCTGCTAATATTGTTATTTTTCTTCATCTTATGAGTCCTTATAATTTTTCAGTAAACTCTGGAGGGTAACTGTTAAGTAGTTATTTCTTTGATATGCTAGGGTTCCTCACTTAAATTCTGTTTTGCTAGT